TTTAAATCATGACGTCATACATATGCGTATTAGGTAAGTGACAAACGTTTTTGTTTCCTGGTTTGGCAAAAAAAAATATTATTTACGAATTGGTTGTTGTTGCTTGGAAAGAATGAACCAATTTAATGCATACTGAATAAAGCACTTTCTTTCAAAGTGTACATAGAACTTATAAAGTTTGCTCTGGTCAAAGCCAGCTCATCTGGCGTGTTTGTTTATTTCACGTAATTTAAGAACTCAGAAACTATCGAGTTTAAATGCATTTAGAATATAGTTGAAAGACTATAAGTTTCCGAACTATGTTCAAATTGTCAGCAGTTATTAATTAAACAGATTACTAAGAATTTGATTAAAGACTCAGGTGCCCAACTTTCATTCAGTTCTCTTATGTCAATAAAATAATTAATGCAGATAGAGGTCTCAACCGGTATCAGAAAAGCTTTACTTTAAATCCTTCGCTAAATGTCTGCGAGAACTTATTCCTCCCTGGGGATTAAGGAAGACGCTATGCTATTAATTCTTTTAATTAAAAGCGACATTCATTGCTGAAAGTCTATTTAAACTATGTAGTATATGCGATTCGGAATATACATTTAGTTAAGGAATTTATTTTCTTCACCATTAAAACCTCACAAGACTTAATTTATTATAAATAACTCTTTATTTAAATCTTAAAATAATACTATGCATATTCAGTAAATCCTAAAACAGTTATAAAGTTGTACTTGTTGCATTTATGTAATTGAAGCTCTTAAACGTGACCAAGTTGCTTATGGACTTAGTGATTTAATTCTGGAATTTCGTGTTAGTTAATTATGGATTTAATATCGACATAACAAGCTGAAATAAAATTGAAAATATTATTTCACTCTAAATATCAGTTTGCATCAAGTCTTCAGATATTTTTAACGTCTGCTTCAGTCTTATGGCAAATAAAAGTTTACACATTTTTTACAAATTGTCAAAATGTATTGGTGTTGGTGTATTGGTGTATTTAATTATGGCAAAGCACACGAGGGCTATCTGCCTAAGGGGAGGGATGCCTTCGTGGAGACTTTTAAGGGAAACTGGCTCGTATACAAGTTACACATGGGGAAAACCATGAAAACGCCCATGCAGCCAGCCCGTTCGCGGGATTCAAACCTCGGACCGAACTACCAGTGTTCAGCGACTTTACCGCTCGGCCGCTGGTGGGCAATTGTCAAAATGACTCTGAACAAATGAAAGGGTTGATATTATTAAACACTTCCTTTAAGCTTATGTAAATAAACTTAAATATTTATGCTTATATACAAGATACATAAGTAAAACTAGTGTGAGTTTGAAAAAGGAAGTCATTTGTACTAAAGGGTTTTCTTTATTAGCCCAAACGGTAGGGCTATTGATTTCGTTTTGTCATTTTGCGTCGATTCACTTTCTGCTTTGATTCACTTTCCAAACTGTTGCCACCAAGTACTACAGTTTTGTATTATATTTAAAGAAATTAAATAATGAAGAATCCACATAAATGTATATATGTTTCTCGCATAGTGGTAAAACAGCGGCACCTAGACGCATCAAATTTTGACTAACTTAATTCTACAGCAAATATAGGCATCTATAAGCCCTAATTTGGAATTTGTTTTATTATCTATTTCATATTTTGTCAGACATTAAAGAATTTTTGATTAAGCAACTCAACGATTTCAATGCGAACAATGGCAAAGCTATACAAAAAAAAAAAAAAAAAAAAAAAAAAAAAAAAAAGTTTCCAGAGCGCGAGACTGTGTTTCGGAAATTCTAAAGATATGCTCATTTTCTGCGATATTGCTGAACTGAGTTTTATGGTTTAAGTGCGAAGGTAAGTCACAAAATGTTAAAAAAAAACGCCCCTTTGGGCGTTACGTAAAATCTGAAAGCTTTCAGAATTTTTTGTCATATTTTCCCAGCATTTCGATTATTCGAAGACTTAGAATGGAATCCATATCTAAGGGTATGATTATGCGAATGGAAAAGGAATGCGACAGTAGAGAACACATGCTCTGGGATGACCAACATCGGTATCATGGGAAAGTTGAAGTTCCGATTGATGACATTTGGTGGTTTCAGAATTTTATGTGAAAGTCTTAGTCGCTAGAAAGATACAAATTCTAAATGAGATAAGCACAAGATAAGAAGTAAGAATTTCATTTGAAATGTGCAGCAGCTAATTGACCACGATGTTGTGTACCATTCCATAATGAATTCAATACTTGTATCCTAATTCATAATGAAATAAATATGTTATCATTTAAGTATGGTTTTCCATAAATGTGTTACATTTCTACGGATCTGCACCCAATAAAAAGACGATTCGCAGCAGGATATCATAATTACGAGTTCCCTTTTGATAAGCCACAGCAGAATCAGACATCTCCTTGTGACTTTTTTAAGTCCATCAGTCTCTTAAGGGAAGAACGCAGCTGCCCGTTGAACCGTGCACTTTCGCAGGATCGTTAACTTCATTTTCAACACCTTTAGCGAGAATGGTATAAACAAGTCGAGCTCAATCACAGCTGCTGAATAAATGAAAACATGACGATACCGGACAACCAAGTTAGCCTCACCAAAACCAGATAGAGCGAAGAAAATTATATCTTCTTCTCAATAGAAAGGACACGTCTTAATCCAATAGGCCTGAAGTCAAAATCGAAACGCTTCACTTTTTCTCCCTTTAGCAACATTTCCTCTTCTTCTCAATAGCCGACCTAACGCTTTCCTTTTGAGAGACGAGGAGAACCTGGGAAGCTTTATTTTTTCGTCGGAATTATTTTTCCAATGGTAGGTTGTAGCCGTTTATAGGACTTGCCTATTACTAAGGCCCGAACCATTGGTCTCTTTATTATGGAGGCACTTATTAAAAGTGCCATCGTAGCCACATATAAAGGGAAGGACAAATTACATTCATACCTTATTTGGGATTCAAAATCGGGTGACAAAAGCGGTAGTTAAAGTTACTAACTACTCTCCCGTCTAGATTGCCTTCAAAAATGAAAACCGCCTCTAAATCCATCATTGTCTGGTCATTAGTTATAAATTTCTATAAATGAAATTCTTAATCTCCCTCCAAGCAACACAGAAAGGTAGAAACTTTACAGCGATATTCCCGAGAAAAAACTCTAACCTCCGAAAAGTGACATTGCCTCTTTTCACGCAAAATTTCAAGGTATATTTTCAACTGCTTTTTATCATAACTGTGACACTGGAAGTAATGAGCAGTTAAGAAGCATTTACAATTAAAACGAAGCCGTAATTTCCCATAACTTCCTTAAATACAAATGAGTGTTCAGTGTTGAAATTGAGTTGAGGAATGTTCGTAGCTGTTGGCTGCAGTAGCGCCGACCCTTTAATTCCGAGTGGTTGACAGCACGGGATAAATCACCTGCTTCTAGCTAACCTATATTTTTCTCTAGTCTTTTGTGAAATACAACGTATTTAGAGAAACCCTTGTTTAAATGAAAACATATGCAATAAATCCAGTATGAACTAATACACAAATCTCAAATTCATTATGAATTATTACACAACAACGAACCTTCCATTCCAGTCCGTGAGATTTGTCGATCTCTAGGTTAATCCGAGAGCACTGTGAGATTTTTTTTAACCCTTTTAACACCAGTTCTTTTCTTTTCAAAAAAAATAAGACTTGATATATCATTACCTGATATATTATTTATATATGATAATGATATATCAGGTAAAGTAATCACAGAAACCCAGTGGGATATGCATTCCACTAAATTTCAAGCTTATTTATCCCACAGGATGTCTTGGAAAAGTCTGCGGGAAATATATGCCCCGTTGTGCCGAAAGGTTTACACGAAGATTTTATTACTATAATACCTGCAAAATCGTGCATTAGCACAAGAAGCATTCTGAAAGGATCTCCTTGCTAACACTAGGGGTTATTTAGGCAAAAGGTGTCACAGATACGTATGTGACTGGCAAATATACATAGAAATGATTTTTACCATGTCCTCGTTTTTATTATTGGCTGGGTTTTGTTATTACTGACTGCACATATCTCCATCCAAGCAAGAGGGATGAAATGTGAAGGGCTAAATTACGATGTTAAAATTATAACACAAATTTTAACATTCATTACCACGAAGACGATCGATTTATCTATCAATACGAAGGTGGTAAATTTCTGAGACTCATTAAAGCTTCAATTGCGTTGTTGTTAAGATATAGCAAATGAGAATTAACAGATATCAACAACCTTTTATTATTCTCCAAATATTGATCTGAAAATTAATTAAAAAATGAAAAAACAGAAATTTATTTTTAACTATTTACATTATTCTGGTATTAAATACACTTGTTTATTACAGTCAGCTTATTTTTGCTAAATTTTCTTCGGCTATAGCTAGCTGACGGTTTATTACCGTCAGCTGGCTTTCAACTATTTACATTCTTCTGGTATTAATAATACATGTGTTTATTACCGTCAGTTTATTTTTGTAACTTCTGTAATTCTAACAATTACACAAAATATAAATATGGCCTAATGTTTAGGCTGATTAATATTTGAAGCAATACATACTGCTGCTAGTAAGAACTAAAGAACATGACGATAACAAATTGGTTTACAATTCGGGTAACTGAATTTTCGCATTTATTTATTAAGAGAAAATATATTTTACATGTACCGCATTTAAGAATTATTTCATGGAAACAAATCTAATATATCTGCATATCTATATAATTTAGTATTTTATCATATTTAAATAATTTAATATTTTATCATATTTATATAATTTATATAACAGCAATTTATTCTTCTGTATTTTAGAAATATCCTGATATTTTATTAAAATTAGAATATTTCTAAACAACATATTTAGACTTGGTGTTTCACTTATAATTTATTATATTAACTTCATGAATGTTTGAATTATAATGAGACTTCCATGAAACAATTTATGATAAATACTACTATAATGTGAAATTATATTTAATAAACTAAATAGGCTGCTTACCTTATCCACTGACAGCTTGTTGTATGGGGATATTTACAGAGTTTACTAACTAAAGCCCACATTTATTTAAGCGGAGCGAGATTTAAAATTTTGCTAATTTTTACCTACGATTTAAATTTACTCAAACATTATTAAACATACATATATTTTAAAGAGGCTGAAATCGTCTGAGTAGCATTTGGTATCAGCAAACCTGTAACCTAACTGCAGCAACTTTCTGGATATCCTTCTCTCTCCATGTCTGGACCGGGAGCAACTGGCAGTTACCTCGAGCTACACTCTCCGTTTTCTGTTTCATTTTGTTTTCATTCATTTGCAGAGAGTGGTTCAGCCGCCTTCTCCCAGATGGCGATGACAGTTGAAACCTGCCGTCCAATCCCGTTGCATGATAATGCAGCGAGACATGCGTATTGCGGTGCTGCTCTGGAAAAGTTTTTTCCATCTCTATTTGCCGATGAACATCTTCAGCATTCTCCAGAGCATTTTATTTAATTTTTTCATTGTTGTGATTCAAGTCGCAGTACTTATGGTTTATAAATAACCAAGAAGCACTAACAAAGAGTACATCTAACAAAGAGACTTACCATATCTAAAAGCTTAAGAAATTAGCATTGGGTAGAAAAGGTTAAGGATTTACATTCGTTGAAAATTGAATATGATTTTTATTCAAATGCGTGAAATTAAATTAATAGTTTAAATATATGTAAATAATTATTAAGGGGACTCATACACCTTAAAATTCATAAGATCTTCAAATATGTGACTGTTGCAAGAATTGGGATAACTTATTTATTTTAAAAGCAATTACTTCCAACTTTTTACAGCTGGATGCAAAATATAGTGGCTTTCTGAAATAGTCATCAGAACGTTTGTGTTGCCACAGATATTTTTATAATTTAATCCGCTTTGTGACAACATTTTTCGTCAAGTTTCCACCTAGCGCGCACGGTTTGAAACATTCTGTTGCATAATTATTTCATTTTAATATATAGCTTTTATAACATTTGGAAACTACTGTGAACCTCAAATTCTAAGAGTTTTAATGTTAAATTTTATTTTATTTGGTGTTGAATTTATAAAATGTATTTATTAAAAAATCTGTAATGTTTCGTGCATAAATTTTTTTAATATTAAAATATTCATCAGAGTTTTTGTTCACTTAGAAAATAGTCGCATATATAAAGAATTCCATGAAATTTCAATACTACCATTAGCCATTTTAAAATATCAGTGCGAAGGTTGAAAACATGACGAATATTTTGTCACAAGCGGATTAAATTACAAAACTTTTGTGGCAACACAAACATTCTGGTTACTAGTTTCTAAAGCAGCTATATTATGTAGTCATCTGTAAAAAATTGGAAGTAATTGCTTTTAAAATAAATAAAATATCTCTATTCTTGCAACAGTCTCATATTCGAAGATCATAAGGGGTTTAATGTGTATGAGCCCCCTTAATTCAATCATGAAATGAATTTAATGAAATTTTTTCAATGATAATGTTTCTAAATAATACGAAAAATTTGCTATAACTTCTAATCATTTCCACCTTTTTTACTTCCTTGTACGAAGTAAAAAAGGAGTATTGTATCGAAAATTATCGAAACGTTTCAGGCAGCATATTTCAATGAAAATATCCATTTTGACCGCTATCGAATGCAATTTAATGATGTTTTTGCGTGATATCTGTACGTAAGGACAGAATAAAAGACTCTTTTACTGCAAAAAAAAAATTATAAAAATGCTTTAAAATCAATTCTGAAGAGAATTTTTCGTGGCGTCTGTACGAACGTATGTACGTACGTATCTCGCATAACTCAAAAACGAGTAGCGTCAGAACGTTGAAATTTTGTATATAGGTCTGCTATAACATGTAGATGTGCCCCTCGTATTTTGGTTGCAATCGGCCGCACCAAACGTATATAAATATATTTATATATATATCCACTCTGTTACCCTTCTCAGTGATCTCAGTTTCTTTATTCTTATATGTTAATAAATTGTACATTTTTTGCTTTAAAAATGATTGAATCATGTTGTTCTTATCTTCCGGTCAAGGTTTTTATACCTTTAGTAAATCTGTATGCAATATTCTTAGAATTATCAACAATTTTAAAGTTGTTTAAGTGCCGCTAAGCCTAATAATTTTTTCGATGGCGGCCATTGCTTCTTTACATTTGAAACAGCAGACTAGTGGATTTTTCGCCAATATAGAGAAATTCAACTTCGCAACAACAAAGATAACGCCTTCATTTATTATTGCGAATTAAATCATGCATAACCCTTTCTGGAATGTTTTCGAGGAAATAAGTGTTTAAGATTTACTTCGTAATTTTTAACATAGATATTTTGAGTTTTTATGTATTTTTGCCTTGTCGCGAAGTGGCAACTGAATTAATTGAATGAGAAATACTCAGTCCCCTATGAAAAACTGTTTCTTTTTTGTTTTATTTGCTTAAACGTTTTTTTGCATTCTGAGTTATAATATGAAAGAAATATAATACAGTTAAGTGAGCCTAGCGCCAGAGTGCCGCTATGGTAAACAAATATAGTGAATTTTAAGGAATGCATTTATTCTATTGTGGTTTATGCGCTGTCGGCGAAGTAGATTTAATTCAATCCAATAAGTTTAAATGAAATGCAAGAAATATGCGTATAATTCAATATTCCGTACAAGGAAGTCATATGGTTTACACATCAGATTTTTTAACTTAAAATTTAATGTTAAGGCTTAAAAAAGATGATCGCCAATCGATTTAAAGCGAATATTCTGTGTATTTCAGAAACTGCACAGATGAATTTAGTCTGCAAAATATGAAATAACAATGTCTGAACTGTTTCTTTCTGTAATATGAATAAAAATATATATTAAATACTTAAATGAGAACACAGTGTTTTACACACACAGTGTTTTAGTAGTAAATGAATCATTCAAGAACGAATACGTCTTACCAAATTTTTCATTTTTTATAACGTTTGTGATAAATGCAATTTGATGGCATAATCTTTCTGAAGTCATATATTATATTATTCCAGTCAGGAATATCAGAGTAATCTTAAAATTTACAACATAGAAAATTTGAATTGGAATCTTTGTTTGCGTTTTTAATGGTAGTAAACATGACTCAAATATTCCTTACATCACCATCTGCATAATTCGGATATCCTTTATATGACAGGATAATTCATTAAAACATGTATACATACTACGATAATAATATAGTAGTCGAGCTTACATTTTTTTATTTAAAAGCAGACTAAATGAATAGAAGATTAAAAAATCTTATGTGTACACCACATGACTTCCTTGTACGGAATATTAAATTACACGCATTTTTTTTTTTTTTTCATTTCATTTAAACTTATTGGATTGAATTAAATCTACTTCGCCGACAGCGCATTAACCACAGTAGAATAAATGCATTCTTTAAAATTCACTCTAGTATTTGTTTACCATAGCGACACTCTGGCGCTAGATTCACTTAACAGTATTAATAATTATATAACAGTTAAATTATATAATAATTTTATAACGGAAACTGTTATATAATCCAATAATTATATAACAGTTAACTTATATATTTCGTTCATATTATAACTCATAATGCACAAAATTTATATCATTTAAAGAATATAATTATCTAATCGTTGCCAAATGTTCTATTCAAATACTATAATAAAGCTAGAACGATGTATAAAAGAAATTAAGCAAACAAAACAAAAAAGAAACAGTTTTTCTCAGACGATTGAGTATTTTCATTTCATTAATTCAGTTCTCATTTCGCGAGAAGGCAAAAATACATAAAAACTCAAAATATCTATATTAAAAATTACGAAGTAACTCTCAAACACTTATTTCCTCGAAAAATTTCCAGAAAGAATTAAGCATGATTTAATTGGTAATAATAAATGAATGCGTTATTTTTGTTGTTGCGAAACTAAGTTTCTTTAGATTGGCAACAAGTTTACTAGTCTCCTGTTTCAAATGTAAACATCAATGGCCGCCATATAAAAAAGGCTTAGCGGCACTTAGACAACTTTAAATTGTTGATAATTCTAAAACTATTGCGTACAGATTTACCAAACGCATAAAAACCTTAACTGGAAGATAAAAACAACATAGTACAATCATTTTCAAAGCAAAAAATGTACAATTTACAAACATATAAGAGTAAAGAAACTGAGATCACTGAGCCGGGTAACAGAGTGGATATATTTATAAATATATTTATATACGTTTGGCGCGGCCGATTGAAACCAAAATACGAGGTGCACATCTACATGTTATAGAAGTCTTATATGCAAAACTTCAACGTTCTGAGGCTACTCGTTTTTGAGTTATGCGAGATACGTACGTACGCACGCACGTACGTACGTACGTACATATACGTTCGTACAGACGCCACGAAAAATTCTCTTCAGAACTCATTTTAAAGCAATTTTTTAGTTTTTTTGGAGGAAAAGAGTCTTTTATTTTGTCCTTACGTATAGATATTACGCAAAAGCATCTTTAAATTGCATTCGAAAGCGGTCAAAGTGGATATTTTCGATATGCTGCCTCAAGCTTTTCGCGATTATAATACTTCCTTTTTACTTCGTACAAGGAAGTAAAAAGCATTACCATTAATTTTGTTTTTGAAATCTTCCATTAAACTACGTAATATTCAACTGTGCAGGGATATTACTTTTATTTACATTTACAGATCATATGAATAAATTAATTACAGTAAGAATGTAATTAAATGTAAGTAATAGTAATTCCGTAACTCATTCGCAGCTTACTTAAGGAAAATTATTTTGCTGGTTTAAAATTAATAGAAGAGGAATATAATTCTTAAGATATTCTTATTAAATAAATGTCTATTTTTCATAATACCTGTTCCGCGACTTTACCACCAGAGCCGTAAAGTCCCTGAAAACTGGTAGTTCGGTCCGTGGTTGGCAAACCGCGAATAGGCTTTGGCTACATGAACGTGTTCATGGTTTTGTTCATGTGTACCCTGTATACGAGTCTGTTTTCCTTAGAAAGTCCTATATAAAGGCATCTCTTCGCTTAGGCTGATAACCCTCGAGGCTTTGCCGTAATCACATAAAACAAGCCAATCTTTATATTAAAATATTCATAAGCGAATGACATTACTAAATTTTTTTATTAATATTTTTAATGCTACATAATGATAGTAAATAACTGACATTTTGTGAATATTTCTAGCAGAATAAAACACAAAAGTAAATAGCTAAGAAAAGTAATAAAATGTGACTA